TTCTTATGTTTTGTTTAAATTTAGGTTTGACAGTTAAATTATTTTGATGTTTGCTTTTAATTACTGTATAAAGCTTATATATTAAAAATTTATTTATTTTCATTTTTAGATTGTTAATACTTTACAACTTTACTTTGTTACTTCATTTATTGTCACCATTTCATTGTTACCTGGCTCTTATTTAAGGGCATTTATTTATTTTGATTTTCCATGAACAGAACAACTATTCAAAAGAAGATAATTAAATATAATACAAGAATTCCGAATGTGTTCATGCGTAACTATATATAAAATATTTATGTAAATAGCTAATAAAATACATTCAACTAACTAAGAACTGTGATAATATTTAATTTATATTAATATTAATATATTTTTTTCAAATAACAAATTTATCAAATTCTATATGTCTTACGAATTTAAAGTAAAATATACAAGTATACAAATTTTTACATACGTATCTCAGTACTTGCATGGGTACATTTTATATTATTGTCCTATATAACTGTTATTGTCATTTCTTTACGAATTGATGTTGTATGAATTGTCTTATTAATTAGTAAAATATTATTTGTATACATATATGTAGTTTTTTCACATTCAAGGCAACTACCGCCATGCAGACGTATATTTGTATATATGCATGTATGTATCTATGTACCGTTAAGGTTTTATTGATATGCGATCATCAAGAATGTAATAAGTTGGTCTTATATCACATTTATAAACAAAAAAACTGATTATATTACTACTTAATACTTTGTATATAAGTACATACTTTATAAATATATATATAAGAGTATTTATATATTTATATATATACCAAGCCAACAAATTTGAAATGATTGCTTATTTTAATGAAAGATTAATTTTAAATGAAAGACTTGACAAATTTTATTCAAAGTATGCACCATTGCTTTTGCCCACCTTTCTGACAACTTGTGGATACCACGCAAATTGAAGAAAAATAATCGGACAATCAATTTTTGACATATTCATAGGAATCGAAGTGCTGGTCAGCCAAAGCGTGTCCCATCGGGAAAATATTAAATAGTCGGAAGGTGCCAAGTCTGGTGAATACGGCGTGCGAGATATCAGCTCTCAGCAAAGTCCTTTGTTCATATCCTGGGCCGATTATGCCTTTTGTACCATGGCATTGTAGTTACTAAGATTCTGGAATTCTTTCGATGTCTACGGTCTTCAATTTGATCATTTGTTGCTTGTAGCGAATAGTATTACCTTTTTCACCCCTTATTGATCCAATTAAACACAGAGTATTGTCGAAATCGTTATTTTTGAACTGTATAAACCATGTTTTGCATGTTGCTTCCGATAGAGCATTATCACCAAAGGCCTGGTGAAGCATTCGATGAGAATCTGCAGCAATTTTCTTTTCGCATATCATCAGTTTTTGGCGAAAAAGTTGACATTTTCGGATAAATAGAAAAAATTGATATTGTTTGATTAATGGATTAATGTACGAAATAGGTTAGTCACACCAGCCTAAACAAAAAAATTAAAACTCTATCACAATAAATGTGGAAATTAGACACAGTCCTTGTAATATACACGTATACTTATAAGCATAGTGTTGCCATACATAATGTTATTTTAGATTCCAGTTTATTACAATTGGAAATAAAAAGGGCTTATTCCTGTCATGTCGATTTTATTGTGTAAAACAATCTTATGCACATGGTAATAACAATTCGAACAGTCCACAAATGAATTTTTTTTGCTTCCTTTCGTTTCGTCTCGAATACCTTTTATGTGAACCAATGCATATAAGTAAACATATACATCAGTAATAGCTGTCAAAATAAATATTACATATATATGTAGGAATAAAAGTAGCTTCTAAATAAAAGAGCCGCTTGAAAACTTCATAAACCGTTATTGCAATCGCACAATTTCCTAATGGTATTCTGTAATCTTACTGTAAATAACTTTATAAACAGTGAAATAACCTGCACATATAACTTGAAATTAGTTTTTGTAAATGTGATTTAACATATCCCCTTGCTAAACCGGAATTGAGTAGGCAGTCTCTACTAACTGGTCTAAAAAACGAAGCAAATTTCAGATCAGTAGGGTATTCTCTGTCGTGTTATAAAGATATTTGGTTTGTTAAAATTACTTAACGCTAATTTTAACGATTTCGCTATTCTCTTAGCAAAGTATAACGAATTTCGGACCGCAAATAAGACTTAGCGATATTTTTAACGATATTCGCTATTCTCTAACATGGTATCACGATTTTCGGATTGCAAAGAAGACTTAGCAATAATTCTAGCGCTTTTAATATTTGCTGTACTCATTTTAACGATATTTGCTCCCGTTGTTGTCGTAAACTACTCTACAAATCGCCAACTAAGCGACGAATATTGTTAAGTTGTTAGCGGCATCGACAAAATATTGTTATTTTATTTAAAAGAGTAAAGTGTCCGGGAAATACAAGAAAAAAAATTAAATTAACGGCTTTTGAATATTTGGCATATTATTTATCACAAGATGAAGAGGTAGCCTACCCTTCATGATTCGATATAAGTTTGCTTCGAGAAGCGGAAGATCCTTTTCACTTGAATGCTACCGAGTTTCGGAAGCTATATAGATAAACGATGGATTTAGTTGAAAAAATCGTTTCTCAACTAGATTGACAACTAAAAGGAAGAAAAGTAACAGCATGGTCTACGGAGAAACAGAAAATAATATATTTTTAAATTTTTTTTTTTTAGTCTTAACGCTATTAAAATGTGTAAAGGTTCTAACCGCCTTGCGATCTTTTGCAACTGGATCCTATCAACGTCCCGTCGGAGAGCACTGGTGGATGTCCATGAGTCGGTCGTCAGGAAGCCATTGTATTGATCGCGTAACAGACGCAATCCACCGATGAATGTTCTCTGTGAAGGTAAGTTTTCCATTACGTCGCCATTTGCTGGAGGAAATGTTGGGGCTATCGATTGCGAAGAAGCCTATGTCAACCTTCATGAATATTATTCCACCAAAGAGCAAATGGTGAGAGTAGGTTTTTTTCAATTACGATTGAAGTAACACAGTTAATTATATTTGTACACAGATATATGATCCTTATCGCAAGATAATATCAGCCGAGTACTCAAGAGCGCGGCATAATTATTTTATTTGGAGCTCCTCTATAGAGCGAAGAGTCATGCATGAAAGTGCAAACATAACATGCTTTTGATAAACTTTGTAATGCAATGCTATTCTTTTAATAAAAGTAAATTCTATAACAAATTTGTTTGTTTTTGTCATTCCTCATTGTTCTTTTCGCATATTTTGACGTTTTGTTAAGCTGTGGTGCCACCTTTCTTTCATGTTTTTAAAATGGAAATGTCCGAAAACTGAGTTAGAGAATAGCTCAAGCGACTAAATTCGGAACTTTGCGATCCGACAAATCATGTCGATAAAAGTTACAGAATTGCACTGCACGAGCTTAGCAGATGACAAATAATGAAGTAAGTAATTGGTTGGGTACATGATCTCTCGTTGAAAAATTAGAAAAATGCTTAATACGCAAAAATTTTGAAAATTTGATTTATTTATAAGTTCTTATTTTGTTCTTGTTCTCTGTAAAAAAGAAACAATATAAGCAAAATTTCAATATTTTTTTATTTAAATCATAATTTAGATATACTCGTAGCACTTTTCAGATATTCATAAAATATATTGGAGAATAAAGAAGCAGCTTGGTTTCTACATAAGGATTTGCCAGATTCAATCCGAGTTTACGGACCAGACAAAGTGATTAATATGTTCAAACAAATTATCGCACAGTACGTATAAGGTATTATTTTATTGGCATTTTCACAAGGTGTGAACAAACTTAAATATTTGTGTACCCGGCCAGGCCACAAATTGCTGTGGCTTTCTTGTACTTCATTTATTCTAGATATTATAATAAGTATTATAGGGTAGTAAGTGGGTAAAGAATAATTAAATTTTCTTCTTAAGCTTCAATTAATGGTCAATGATAAACTGCTCGGTGGCCGTGGTAGCCGAAAAGTTAGCATTTCGTACTGACATTCGGAAGGCTCAGGATCATTCAAAATTTTAACTGTGTGCACACTCATCTATGTAATTTCTTCTGTCGCCTGTCAGCAGATATAGCTGGCTGTGACTTTGTTTTGCTTTCTACCAAAGTTGAACTTTCTATTAACCTTGTTGAGTAACAACAATAAACGTAAAAATTGTATCTTTTGATTTACGATCATCAAAAGAACGATATTTGCAAATAGAATTTGTTTCAATTTTCAGTATTTGTTGAGGGAGAAATGTTTGCCAACAATGTAACAAAGATAAAAAAACTGAGACTTGTACCATGTTTTGTCATCAGAACTACCAAATCATAGCAAGAGAATATTAATAAAATGACAATTTGCATCGAAACCTAATGCATGAATTTTAGTTATATGCTCAGTTTTCTCACAGAGATATTATCAGGCCTTTTCTGACGAGGTAACAAAATTTACCTATGTATTAAAATTTACCATTCAGTAAATTTCGTTACCATTTCGTAATCTGAGCTCACTGTTACCCTGTAAATTTTGCTACCAGCGAAATAGGAGGTAACAAAAAAATCTGCTGCTTGATTTTGTGTTGTAAGTTTAAGAAAAAATAAAAAACCAAAATGGGTAGGCATATTCTAGGTCTGGAATTCATTGAAGATGAAGAAAAAAGTGCAAAATGCCGTATTTTAAGAAAATAGCCCTTTTATTTGTAAGATAACGTCTTCATTCAGCATTTTTTGTTATCCAGGCATATTTTCCATAATTAGGTTCAAACATGTATGATTTAATAAACAAATTAATAAAACTTTTTAATTTTTTTGTACACCGTCTTCCATTTCAATGTGGATATTTTTCTTTTTAATTTATCAACTGGCAAACGTAATTTGACACGGACGAAAAAAGCAGTGCTGCCAAATTTTTTTCAAACATTGTAACCAGATCGCCAGAATACCAAATTCAATTTCGGGTGTTAAAGAAAAGTAACAAAATTTATTTTACTGATAACAGTAATTTTGTTACCTCGGCAGAATAGGCTTTATGAGTAAAGCCAGTGTAAGCAAATATGAGAATTTTTACATGGTAAGTGCAGATTTATAACGAATTCCAAAATGTACAATTTTTTTTATTATTTGATAACAATCCCTAGCAATTATCCCTGAAATTCTGGTAAAATTTGTAGGGCAAGAATTTGCATTTATGTCAAGTACCCGATGGGCGAAAATGCCGTGTTCGTGGAGTGTAATCATCTATGTATATTGTTTCGCACATTGCAAGTTGATTTTTGATTCTAAATAAAGAACAGCGAAATATTGTGAAGCAAGAGTTTTACTACCGTTCCAATGATTAGCCTCCTAATATTCATTAATGAAAATTTTATAAATAGTCCTTGATTTGACTTCCTTATTAAAACTTTTTGTCAGTACGGTATAAATGAAAACGCTCCTTCACTCAATAATGACATTTAATTTATAAAATAAAGTAAAGAATAGCATAATATAACTGCCGATCTACACATCTACATATATAAATAAATATTCTTGGGGCTGGGGTTTTCTAACAGCTGAAGCGATTTTCCTTTCTCCGGAGCAAAAATTAATAGTGATATATGAAAATAAAAGTATAAGGTTATTAGTTTTGGAACTCGTTGCAATCTCTAATATTTTCGTTGAAATTTATACACTTTCCTCATGTCCCATGCAAAGATGAGAGACCTTCTGTGTTCCGAAGTATAAGCAAATTGAAGGATAAAATAACAAATACTTCATTTCCGCTACGATTCGGAAACATCGGGCTTGAGTGCTGTTCCGATCAACATCCAAATAATGGAAAATTAGTTAGTTTAATTGAAAAAAATATTTCAACGTCTGATTATGTGTGACAGGAGATCGCCGATTAAACTAATTTACAAACGATGTAACTTTGGCATGATAAACGCAAAATATCTAAAATATAATATTAATTTGTTTTTACTTGTACATTTGATAGATACATACAAACATATAACTATAATAACTATTCTCCAATTTTTTGAAATTGAAAATATTATATAAACACATGTATAGACAGACATACGAGTGTATGGTTCAGTTTATTAACCGTATATTGTAATGTTTTCCGCACTCGATAGATCCTGCTTTCCGCTACTTGTTTAATTAACTACTCTACGCACCTGTGTTGCTGTAGTGAACATTTATACAGCCTTAAAAGCTTTATTACTATTTTAGTGTAATTATTAATAGTTGTCGTAGTCATAAAATTCAACGGCATCAATCTTAGCAGTTCCTGGATAATCTGTTTGTGGATGGAAGTATGTCAAGAATACCTGAGGACCTGTGTTCACTTCATCGCAATCTTTTTTTCTCGTGACTGGTGGTTCATAAATGTCATACTTATCGGTTATTTTGTCTATATATGACTTGTTTACTGCTTTTCCGATTGACGGCAGTGAGCGGAAGTCGGGCTCATTAGGGTGGAACTTGTATAAAAATGCATCCTTACCAATTTTCATATCGTATTTCTTCTTATTGGCTGGCGTAAGCGTGAAGCGGTTCAGACTCTCTACGAAGCTCTGCAACAACATTGCCTCTCCGTTGTGTATGTCGGATTTTAATTGTGCTCGAATCTTTCGGGAAAATGGGGCTGTGTTCGAGCTCTTTTCTAATGGTGTATCCTGAAAATGGAAACGTGAAGAAAAAAAGTTATATTTGATATACATTTTTAATTTAAGCCAATAATGATACATTTCTCTCAGGCCTTGTGGCAATGTTTACACGTTGAATATCAGAATAACTGAACCGCTGCAGAGTCCCGGTCCAAGTCCATCTGACGGAAGCCAGCTAACTTGGTACTGGGATTAAACTGCTTTTAGCTTGTGCGGCAGCTATTGATTTTAATTAAATAAATTAATAAAGTTTTAAGTTTTTCGTGTTGTAATTAACTTAATAATATTTTGTGTTTGGCTTCACTAAGTAGTTTTTTCACAATATGTAAATACTAGCCGACCTAGCAGACAAAATTTAATTTTTTTCCCAATAAATAACGTATGGTTTTTAACAAAAAGCTTAGCTCAGTAATGGGTATGGTGAAATGGGGTGAAGTTAAGCTTTTGAGTATGCTGTTACAATATACGGAAGTCGCGAGTCTATACTCAATTGCTATCTTGCGTCCACGTCGCGCACCCTAAAAACGTGAGCAACTCTTGTGAAAGATGCGGTAGCCAAACTGTGTGGAGCCTCACGGCTAGTGAGACGCGGAGCTTCAGTGGAGCCTCTCTAATGTACTCGGCTTAAGGGTCCGCTGAAGTCATAGCAGCGTATGTTCATCTGAGGTAGGGATGTCAGGGGGTGTTGGTGTTAAAGCAAGCGCTCGCTATAAAAATGTGCACAAAATTTGAACTTACTTGAGTGCTTGGTTTGGGATCCATAGAAACCAGCCCCAATGAAACATTTTTCAACGTCTCCGGTGAGAGACTTTCCTTCTGTTGACGACTCCGCAAATGTTTAAAGGAATATGGGTATGCACGTGGAATGTCCAGAACCTTAATTAGGAAGATGCCCCTACCCAGCTGGTTGATATTCTGGTAAGTATAAAGACTGACATCACCGTCGTCCAAGAAGTCCGAATGGCGTAAAAAGGACGGAAAAGAGCAGGTTCTTGTGAAATTTATTACACCAGGGGCGAATTCGGTGTTGGACTTGTGGTGGGAGCGACTCCGTCGCCGAGTACTGGCCACTCAACCCGGGGGATGAAGAACTCGCCAAAGTGAAAGTCGTGCTTGAAGATTTTAAAGCAAGAGCGGAAAAAACGGTATCTTTAGAACGACTGTCGGAAAATTCGCCGGGGCCCGAAATATGATTTTGGGTATTACAAGATTCTAGATTGATAATGTTATGATAGACGGAAGACATGTCTCCAGTGTTCTTGATGTGCGTACACTCCGAGGAGCCAACGTCGACTCGGTTCACTATCTTGTTGCAGCGAAGATTCGCTCATAGCTCTGTGTGTCTTATAACTCCCGCCAACAAACACAAGACAAGTTCGATGTCTAAAAGCTGCAATCACAACAGACTGCCGAACGATTTTCTACTTGACTGGCACTTCTGCTGTCTGAGAGCTCAGCAACTCGGTACTGTGCCCCACAATTCGATGAAAAGGTACGACAGCTTGCAGAAGACCAGGGCTCACAATCTGCGCCAATTATCGTGGGGCATGTCTCCATAATATCGTCTATAAGGTCCTGTCGAGCATATTGTGGGAAGGACTGAAGGCCACTGTTAACAATCTGGTTGGGCCTCATCGGTGTGGCTTCAGATCTGCTAAGTCAACTATTGGCAAGATATTCACCATGCGCCAAATCTTGGAAAATACTCATGAAAAGAGTATCGACACCCACAAATTCTTCGTCGATTTTAAATCTGCTGGCGACTCACGATAAGGAGCTACCCTTACGCCGCTATGTCACAATTTGTTGCACCCGCAACTGACTATAAGCAACCCAGAAAATTCCGTCAGAAAGGACTTCTCCGAGCCATTCGGTGCATAAAGGGGTTTCATACAGCATGACTCTTTATCGTGTGATTTTTTTAACTTATTGTTGAAGAAAATAATCCTAGCTGCAGAGCAGAATAGAAAAGGTATAATCTTCTATAAGAGTGTACAGCTTCTGGCGTTCGCCGATAACATTGAAATTATTGGCCTCAACAACAACGCCTTGACTTCCGATTTCTCGATACCGAATCAGGAAGCGATGGGTATGGATAAAAGCAAGATGAAATATCTCCTGTCATCACACAAACAGTCATCGTATTCGAAACTCGGCTCTACGTGAGTTGACAGTCATAACTTTAAAGTCGTGGATAATTTCTTTTTTCTTGGAATCAGTATTAACACCAATTATAATGTCAGCCTTGAATCATTCTTGCCAACGGCTGCTACTTGGAACTGAGTAGGCAATTGAAAAGTAAAGTCCTCTTCCGACGAACGAAAACCAAACTATACAAGTCCCTCCGTTTTCGTCCTGCTATATTGTGCGGATGCATGGACAATGACAACATCTGATGAGTCGGCGTGAAGGGTTTTCGAGCGACAGGTTTTGCGAAAGATTTACGGTCATTTGCGCATTGGCATCGGCCAATATAGCAGACGATGGAACGATGAGTGCCAATTGGGGCCAAACAGCAAAAAAGAAGAAACGAATGGCGTATTATTGTAGAATCTGCCTAAGCCAGCATGTAGACTAAAGACTGTTCAAAAAATTCGTATATAATGCTCGATTTACTTGAAATTCAGCACCTAGGTAGCTTTTGGCTTAGATTAATAGGAAGGCTTTTTCTTTTCTCAGGGAAGCGGGCCAGCAGACCTATTCGAAAAAATTTTAGTCATTGGTCGATGTACGCGAAATTCGGATATGACTTCCACTTTTCTTAGATAAACAGGAAAACTATTCTATCCAGAAAGTGGACCATGGACTGACCTATTCAAAAAATTTTATTTGTCGTTTGATATACGATATGTAGTTGAATGGCCTATTTGAAAAGTTTATTTATGACTGGATTTATTTGCAATCTGGTAAATAGCTGTTTTTTTTTTGCTAAGATTAACAGGAAGATTCTACTTCCTTCCCGAAATTGGGCGAGGCACTGTTTCTTGAGTTGAAAGTCGTTGAATAGGTAGCTTTTTGGTTTGATGAGCAGGAAAACTACTCTTATATCCGGGAAGTGGACTTATGTCAATGATTGAACCAAGCATGTTGAGTTGAGTAAATAAAACTATGATAAGGTAAGATGAGAGAATGGGATATTGCATGATTATTTTTCAAGCATTTAATAGGAATGTTCGACCGCGAAGCGTTGCAGGGTGCAGTTAGTTTTAAATTAAAAATGCTTTAATACTCCATACCTAATACTCCATAAAAGTATAGTTCAATATAATATATTTCACTTATATTTATCTACATTTCAACCCCCTTATAAAAATAATGTGTGCAAGAATAGAAAGTAGATAGTATCGGCCGCGGTGGCCGAGTGGTTAGCATTGCGTACTGTCATTTGGAAGACTCGGGTTCAAATGTCCGTGCGACCAACATGCAAAAGTTATAGAAAATTAATTTAAATAAAAAATGAACCTAAATTTTCTGCGGTCGCCCCTCGGCAGGGAATATCAACCCCTCCGACTGTATTCCTGAATTGAAATAAAGCTCCTCATAAAACAACCATCAGCCCTTCGAAGGCAGCTTAGTATAAACTGTAGGTCCCTCCATTTGTTGGAAAAACAACAAGACGCAAAACCACGAATTGGAGGAGGAGCTCGGCGGAAAAATCGCTTCAGCGGTTACAATGTGCCAATTATATATATACGTAAAGATAGTAGAAAAGAGTATAGATACTTCACCCTGTAAATTCATTCATTAGGGAAATGCAACTTTTATAAAATAATATTTAATCGTTGTAGCGCTTTATATGAAGCGTATTTGTATATAAAAAAAAATTTGGGGTTTTGTGTTGATCTTACAGAACCATACCATGGTGTACGGATTGCACGTGAAACATTATAACAACAAAACAAACGCTATAATTTTTATGCCATAGCTGCAAAATATGCTACGCCTCAACCCTTGTTTATTTTTATGCAATGAAACGTAGCAAAGTAAATTCAACCATCTACTAGCTGTTTTGTTATTATTGCTTTAGAAATATTTGCTGAGCAAGGTAAACATTATATATTATCTTATATTTTTATCAATTAAATAATTTTATTCAATATTTTTATGTACAAGCGCGCCGCCGGCAAAGAAACCGAAGCAGCAGCCAAACAAGAAATGGAGCGAACGTGAGATGCTGCAAAAAATATAAGCGGCATTTGAAGGCACAGTTCCATATGGAGAATGACTGGCTGATATCAACTGGTGTTGGGCTTTTCAAAGAAGTTAATTGAAAGACGAAAGAAACTGAGTAAAATTTTGGCTTGACTCCACAACTCTTACGAACTAATTACTAACTAATTCTTAACAATTTCAATAAAATTCGCCAAAATATGTCCACACTTCGAGCGGTGGAAAGAAATTTTTGGAAATGGAGTTCCGGTCATTCAACCGCTCCTAGTGACAACGGACATGCCGTCATCATCTATGTCGTCGCAACCGTCTCCAGGGAGTCCGTCGCCAGTGGATATATTTGAGGAAGAAGTTTTCAACGTCGAATTATCATGTGCTGCACCCTCCGCTGTTATAACTCCCACCACTTTGCCAAATCGTTGTTGTGCGGAATCAAATACTAGAAATGGGACATCCAAGACTCAATTCTGAGGAAAAGAAGTTTCAACAACAGATGGATATGGAGGAGGAGAAATTGGAGCTTGAAACGAGAATGTGGGAGTTTGAGGACAAGTGTAAGATAGTAAAATTAGAAATGACGAGAAAAGGTAGCTAAATATGAAATTGATACGAGAAATAAAAGAAGTTCAACCATTTTTTGTAAAGCTTTTATTTAATTTGAAGTATGTTTATTTAAGTACGGTAAAAAAAGTGTAACTTACTCTACTATTTATGTATTTATACACAAGCTGAAAACTTCCCTTTATTTTTTGACACTTCAAATCAGCTGTGTGATTTGCTATCAAATATGCGAGTTTTGCAAGCGGGTGTTCTCTAGCTCTTGCATATTTCAGTATATC